AAAAACTAGAGAACCGTTTGTCTTGACTCTCGAGGCACCGGTGAGATTCGAACTCCACGATTTCCTGTTTACTAGACAGGCGCTTTAACTAACTAAGCCACGGCGCCTGCGCAGCGCCTTGTTCAGTCAGTGACACTATCAGAAGTACTTCGAACGAAAACTTCGAAAACAAAAAACTTCAGAGACGTTTGTCTTGACTCTCGAGGCACAGGTGAGATTCAAACTATCGATCTTCCTTTCACTAGACAGGCGCTTTAACTAACTAAGCCACAGCGCCTACGCAGCGTCTTGTTCAGGCAGTGACACCATCAGAATTATTTCGAACTAACTAAGCCACGGCGCTTGTGCAGCGTCTTGTTCAGGCAGTGACACCATCAGAAGTATTTCGAACTAAACTTCGAAAACAAAAAACTAGAGAGAGGTTTGTCTTGACTCTCGAGGCACCGGTGAGATTCGAACTCACGATCTCCTGTTTACTAGACAGGCGCTTTAACTAACTAAGCCACGGCGCCTGCGCAGCGTTTTGTTCAGGCAGTGACACCATCAGAAGTATTTCGAACTAAACTTCGAAAACAAAAGTACTGAAAGTTGGGCGAGTTCGTACTCGATCATGACTTCTTTGCGCAAACACGTACACGGACACAAGGAAAAGAGGCAAACAACACGGGCGCCCGTGTTGTTTGCCTCTTTTCCTTGTGTCCGTGTACGTGTTTGCGCAAAGAAGTCATGAATGTTCGAAAACAAAAACTAGAGAGACGTTAGTCTTGACTCCCGAGGCACCGGTGAGATTCGAACTCACGATCTCCTGTTTACTAGACAGGCGCTTTAACTAACTAAGCCACGGCGCCTGCGCAGCGTCTTGTTCAGGCAGTGACACCATCAGAAGTATTTCGAACTAAACTTCGAAAACAAAAAAACTAGAGAGACGTTTGTCTTGACTCTCGAGGCACCGGTGAGATTCGAACTCACGATCTCCTGTTTACTAGACAGGCGCTTTAACCAACTAAGCCACGGCGCCTGCGCAGCGTCTTGTTCAGGCAGTGACACCATCAGAAGTATTTCGAACTAAACTTCGAAAACAAAAAACTAGAGAGACGTTTGTCTTGACTCTCGAGGCACCGGTGAGATTCGAACTCACGATCTCCTGTTTACTAGACAGGCGCTTTAACCAACTAAGCCACGGCGCCTGCGCAGCGTCTTGTTCAGGCAGTGACACCATCAGAAGTATTTCGAACTAAACTTCGAAAACAAAAAACTAGAGAGACGTTTGTCTTGACTCTCGAGGCACCGGTGAGATTCGAACTCACGATCTCCTGTTTACTAGACAGGCGCTTTAACCAACTAAGCCACGGCGCCTGCGCAGCGTCTTGTTCAGGCAGTGACACCATCAGAAGTATTTCGAACTAAACTTCGAAAACAAAAAAACTAGAGAGACGTTTGTCTTGACTCTCGAGGCACCGGTGAGATTCGAACTCACGATCTCCTGTTTACTAGACAGGCGCTTTAACCAACTAAGCCACGGCGCCTGCGCAGCGTCTTGTTCAGGCAGTGACACCATCAGAAGTATTTCGAACTAAACTTCGAAAACAAAAAAACTAGAGAGACGTTTGTCTTGACTCTCGAGGCACCGGTGAGATTCGAACTCACGATCTCCTGTTTACTAGACAGGCGCTTTAACTAACTAAGCCACGGCGCCTGCGCAGCGTTTTGTTCAGGCAGTGACACCATCAGAAGTATTTCGAACTAAACTTCGAAAACAAAAGTACTGAAAGTTGGGCGAGTTGGTACTCGATCATGACTTCTTTGCGCAAAGACGTACACGGACACAAGAAAAAGAGGCAAACAACACGGGCGCCCGTGTTGTTTGCCTCTTTTGCTTGTGTCCGTGTACGTGTTTGCGCAAAAAAGTCATGAATGTTCGAAAACAAAAACTAGAGAGACGTCAGTCTTGACTCCCGAGGCACCGGTGAGATTCGAACTCACGATCTCCTGTTTACCAGACAGGCGCTTTAACTAACTAAGCCACGGCGCCTCGCAGCGTCTTGTTCAGGCAGTGACACCATCAGAAGTATTTCGAACTATACTTCGAAAACAAAAAACTAGAGAGACGTTAGTCTTGACTCTCGAGGCACCGGTGAGATTCGAACTCATGATCTCCTGTTTACTAGACAGGCGCTTTAACCAACTAAGCCACGGCGCCTGCGCAGCGTCTTGTTCAGGCAGTGACACCATCAGAAGTATTTCGAACTAAACTTCGAAAACAAAAAACTAGAGAGACGTTTGTCTTGACTCTCGAGGCACCGGTGAGATTCGAACTCACGATCTCCTGTTTACTAGACAGGCGCTTTAACCAACTAAGCCACGGCGCCTGCGCAGCGTCTTGTTCAGGCAGTGACACCATCAGAAGTATTTCGAACTAAACTTCGAAAACAAAAAACTAGAGAGACGTTTGTCTTGACTCTCGAGGCACCGGTGAGATTCGAACTCACGATCTCCTGTTTACTAGACAGGCGCTTTAACCAACTAAGCCACGGCGCCTGCGCAGCGTCTTGTTCAGGCAGTGACACCATCAGAAGTATTTCGAACTAAACTTCGAAAACAAAAAAACTAGAGAGACGTTTGTCTTGACTCTCGAGGCACCGGTGAGATTCGAACTCACGATCTCCTGTTTACTAGACAGGCGCTTTAACCAACTAAGCCACGGCGCCTGCGCAGCGTCTTGTTCAGGCAGTGACACCATCAGAAGTATTTCGAACTAAACTTCGAAAACAAAAAACTAGAGAGACGTTTGTCTTGACTCTCGAGGCACCGGTGAGATTCGAACTCACGATCTCCGGTTTACTAGACAGGCGCTTTAACTAACTAAGCCACGGCGCCTGCGCAGCGTCTTGTTCAGGCAGTGACACCATCAGAAGTATTTCGAAATAACTTCGAAAACAAAAAACTAGAGAGACGTTTGTCTTGACTCTCGAGGCACCGTGAGATTCGAACTCACGATCTGCTGTTTACTAGACAGGCGCTTTAACCAACTAAGCCACGGCGCCTGCGCAGCGTCTGTTCAGGCAGTGACACCATCAGAAGTAATTCGAACTAACTTCGAAAACAAAAAACTAGAGAGAACGTTTGTCTTGACTCTCGAGGCACCGGTGAGATTCGAACTCATGATCTCCTGTTTACTAGACAGGCGCTTTAACCAACTAAGCCACGGCGCCTGCGCAGCGTCTTGTTCAGGCAGTGACACCATCAGAAGTATTTCGAACTAAACTTCGAAAACAAAAAACTAGAGAGACGTTTGTCTTGACTCTCGAGGCACCGGTGAGATTCGAACTCACGATCTCCTGTTTACTAGACAGGCGCTTTAACCAACTAAGCCACGGCGCCTGCGCAGCGTCTTGTTCAGGCAGTGACACCATCAGAAGTATTTCGAACTAAACTTCGAAAACAAAAAACTAGAGAGACGTTTGTCTTGACTCTCGAGGCACCGGTGAGATTCGAACTCACGATCTCCTGTTTACTAGACAGGCGCTTTAACCAACTAAGCCACGGCGCCTGCGCAGCGTCTTGTTCAGGCAGTGACACCATCAGAAGTATTTCGAACTAAACTTCGAAAACAAAAAACTAGAGAGACGTTTGTCTTGACTCTCGAGGCACCGGTGAGATTCGAACTCACGATCTCCTGTTTACTAGACAGGCGCTTTAACCAACTAAGCCACGGCGCCTGCGCAGCGTCTTGTTCAGGCAGTGACACCATCAGAAGTATTTCGAACTAACTTCGAAAACAAAAAAACTAGAGAGCGTTTGTCTTGACTCTCGAGGCACCGGTGAGATTCGAACTCACGATCTCCTGTTTACTAGACAGGCGCTTTAACTAACTAAGCCACGGCGCCTGCGCAGGTCCTTGTTCAGTCAGTTGACACCATCAGAAGTATTTCGAACTAAACTTCGAAAACAAAAAACTAGAGAGACGTTGTCTTGACTCTCGAGGCACCGGTGAGATTCGAACTCACGATCTTCCTGTTTACTAGACAGGCGCTTTAACCTAACTAAGCCACGGCGCCTGCGCAGCGTCTTGTTCAGGTCAGTGACACCTATCAGAAGTATTTCGAACTAAACTTCGAAAACAAAAAACTTGAGAGAACGTTTGTCTTGACTCTCGAGGCACCGGTGAGATTCGAACTCACGATCTCCTGTTTACTAGACAGGCGCTTTAACCAACTAAGCCACGGCGCTTGTGCAGCGTCTTGTTCAGGCAGTGACACCATCAGAAGTATTTCGAACTAAACTTCGAAAACAAAAAACTAGAGAGAGGTTTGTCTTGACTCTCGAGGCACCGGTGAGATTCGAACTCACGATCTGCTGTTTACTAGACAGGCGCTTTAACCAACTAAGCCACGGCGCTTGTGCAGCGTCTTGTTCAGGCAGTGACACCATCAGAAGTATTTCGAACTAAACTTCGAAAACAAAAAACTAGAGAGAGGTTTGTCTTGACTCTCGAGGCACCGGTGAGATTCGAACTCACGATCTCCTGTTTACTAGACAGGCGCTTTAACTAACTAAGCCACGGCGCCTGCGCAGCGTTTTGTTCAGGCAGTGACACCATCAGAAGTATTTCGAACTAAACTTCGAAAACAAAAGTACTGAAAGTTGGGCGAGTTCGTACTCGATCATGACTTCTTTGCGCAAACACGTACACGGACACAAGGAAAGGCGCTTAACTAACTAGCCACGAGCGCCTGCGCAGCGTCCTTGTTCAGGCAGTGACACCATCAGAGTATTTCGAACTAAACTTCGAAAACAAAAAACTAGAGAGACTGTTGTCTTGACTCTCGAGGCACCGGTGAGATTCGAACTCACGATCTCCTGTTTACTAGACAGGTGCTTTAACCAACTAAGCCACGGCGCCTGCGCAGCGCTCTTGTTCAGGCAGTGACACCATCAGAAGTATTTCTAACCTAACTTCGAAAACAAAAAAACTAGAGAGACGTTAGTCTTGACTCTCGAGGCACCGGTGAGATTCGAACTCACGATCTCCTGTTTACTAGACAGGCGCTTTAAACCCAACTAAGCCACGGCAGCCTGTGCAGCGTCTTGTCAGCAGTGACACCATCAGAAGTATTTCGAACTAAACTTCGAAAACAAAAATCTAGAGAGAGCTTAGTCTTGACTCTCGAGGCACCGGTGAGATTCGAACTCACGATCTCCTGTTTACTAGACAGGCGCTTTAACCAACTAGCCACGGCGCCTGCGCAGCGTCCTTGTTCAGGCAGTGACACCATCAGAAGTATTCGAACTAATCTTCGAAAACAAAAGTAAGAAAGTTGGTCTTGACTTCGATCACCGGTTGAGATTCGAACCACGATCTCCGTTTACTAGCAGGGTTTAACAAACGAGCGCCACGGGCCGCGCGGTCTTGTGTCCGGAGTGAACCATCAGAAGTATTCGAACTACTTCGAAACAAAAAACTAGAGAGACGTTGTCTTGACTCTCGAGGCACCGGTGAGATTCGAACTCACGATCTCCTGTTTACTAGACAGGCGCTTTAACTAACTAAGCCACGGCGCCTGCGCAGCGTCTTGTTCAGGCAGTGACACCATCAGAAGTATTTCGAACTAAACTTCGAAAACAAAAAACTAGAGAGCCGTTTGTCTTGACTCTCGAGGCACCGGTGAGATTCGAACTAGTAATCTCCTGTTTACTAGACAGGCGCTTTAACCAACTAAGCCACGGCGCCTGCGCAGCGTCTTGTTCAGGCAGTGACACCATCAGAAGTATTTCGAACTAAACTTCGAAAACAAAAAACTAGAGAGACGTTTGTCTTGACTCTCGAGGCACCGGTGAGATTCGAACTCACGATCTCCTGTTTACTAGACAGGCGCTTTAACCAACTAAGCCACGGCGCCTGCGCAGCGTCTTGTTCAGGCAGTGACACCATCAGAAGTATTTCGAACTAAACTTCGAAAACAAAAAACTAGAGAGACGTTTGTCTTGACTCTCGAGGCACCGGTGAGATTCGAACTCACGATCTCCTGTTTACTAGACAGGCGCTTTAACCAACTAAGCCACGGCGCCTGCGCAGCGTCTTGTTCAGGCAGTGACACCATCAGAAGTATTTCGAACTAAACTTCGAAAACAAAAAACTAGAGAGACGTTTGTCTTGACTCTCGAGGCACCGGTGAGATTCGAACTCACGATCTCCTGTTACTAGACAGGCGCTTAACTAACTAAGCCACGGCGCTTGCGCAGCGTCTTGTTCAGGCAGTGACACATCAGAAGTATTCGAACTAAACTTCGAAAACAAAAAAACTAGAGAGAGGTTTGTCTTGACTCTCGAGGCACGGTGAGATTCGAACTCACGATTCCTGTTACTAGACGGCGCTTAACAACTAAGCCACGGCGCCTGCGCAGCGTCTTGTTCAGGCAGTGACACCATCAGAAGTATTTCGAACTAAACTTCGAAAACAAAAAACTAGAAAGAGGTTGTTTGACTCTGGGCACCGATGATGATTGCGAACCACGTCCCGGTTACTAGACAGGCTTTAACACAAGCACGGGCGCCCGCGTTGTTCAGTCAGTGTCACTTCAGTAGTTTTCGCAAAAACTCGAAAACAAAAAACTAGAGAGAGTTGTCTTGACTCCGAGGCACCGGTGAGATTCAAACTCACGATCTCTGTTTACTAGACAGGCGCTTTAACTAACTAAGCCACGGCGCCTGCGCAGCGTCTTGTAGGCAGTGACACCATCAGAAGTATTTCGAACTAAACTTCGAAAACAAAAAAACTAGAGAGACGTTTGTCTTGACTCTCGAGGCACCGGTGAGATTCGAACTCACGATCTCCGTTTACTAGACAGGCGCTTTAACCAACTAAGCCACGGGCCTGCGCAGCGTCTTGTTCAGGCAGTGACACCATCAGAAGTATTTCGAACTATACTTCGAAAACAAAAAAACTAGAGAGACGTTTGTCTTGACTCTCGAGGCACCGGTGAGATTCGAACTCACGATCTCCTGTTTACTAGACAGGCGCTTTAACCTAACTAAGCCACGGCGCCTGCGCAGCGTCTTGTTCAGGCAGTGACACCATCAGAAGTATTTCGAACTAAACTTCGGAAAACAAAAAACTAGAGAGACGTTTGTCTTGACTCTCGAGGCACCGTTGAGATTCGAACTCACTGATCTCCTGTTTACTAGACAGGCGCTTTAACCAACTAAGCCACGGCGCCTGCGCAGCGTCTTGTTCAGGCAGTGACACCATCAGAAGTATTTCGAACTAACTTCGAAAACAAAAAACTAGAGAGACGTTTGTCTTGACTCTCGAGGCACCGGTGAGATTCGAACTCACGATCTCCTGTTTAGCTAGACAGGCGCTTAACCAACTAAGCCACGGCGCCTGTGCAGCAGTCTTGTTCAGGCAGTGACACCATCAGAAGTAATTCGAACTAAACTTCGAAAACAAAAAACTAGAGACGTTTTGTCTTGACTCTCGAGGCACCGGTGAGATTCGAACGTCACGATCTCCTGTTACTAGACAGGCGCTTTAACCAACTAAGCCACGGCGCCTGCGCAGACGTCTTGTTCAGGCAGTGAACCCATCAGAAAGTATTTCCGAAATAACTTCGAAACAAAAACTGGCCAGAGATGTTTGTCTTGATGCTCTGAGGCACCACGGTGATTCCGAACTCATGCTCTCTTGTTTAGGCGTAGACAGGCGCT